TATATATATATATGTGTGTGTGTGTACAAATATATTGGATATATATGGACAGACTGGATTCTGATATCGATATATTTTTGTTTTCTTCTTATAAATACCTTTATTTTGTAAAACAAGTTTGCTTTGGACATTTATACTAACATTGTTCGTTTTTATTTGTTTAACAACAGTGCCAATTGTAACTTAATCTACATATCTCATAAATAGAGAAATCAGGAAATATAAGTAAAATAAAAGTAACTGCCTGAAAATATATCTAACTTTTATATATATATGGCATTGTTATGCCCCATGTTATTTCCAAATAATAGTATATTTAAACTTTCAATATGATCTCGCTGAATTTTTCGATTTTGCAGCGATCAACATTTCGTTACACTATATACACGTTATGATTTAGCGTTTCTGCCTCAGAAAAATCTTCAAAACGCACAAAAAGAATTCTCCATTATTATTGTTAAACGTAGTCAATCATTTCTATCGTATACATTTCGAAAAGATATGTTTATAGAAACGAATATTCGTACCAACGCTTTGAATCGACATGATTCGGCAGTCTTCAATAATGAATAGAACATACATGTTACGCATATATAAACACTGAAGATATCACTGGGAAAAGATATAGAAATTGACAGGTAATGTTTCCTAACATATGCAAAAGCGGAATGAGCTGATTCTCACTGCGATTGATATAAGAGATAATCTTTCAGCAGTCTTGGCAAAGGGAGCAGATTGACTGCGTTTCTCTTGGTGTATTGTAATATAGCATCACGGCATGCACTCTGTAATGTTGATACTGCTGAAACATACAGAAACAATCTAGAAACTGTGCTGAATAAAGAAACAGGATATGATTTAGGACATAGATACTTACCTCCATACAATTGAACTATTCGAACTTGTTTCGTGGTACCGTAAACATCCACAACTGCACGCAAAGGTCCCGCTTTATAAGGAATATCCTTGCCGCATACACCCTGATCCTCACCGTTAATGATAAAATGCATTTCTGCTTTATCAGGACAACCGGCCTGCGGTACATACATGATACCAATACGACTACCTGCATCTGTAGGCAGGATGCATTGAGAAGAACCGTCTATATTTGGTTTTAGAGCATTAAAAGGAATAACACCGCGTGACGTTTGCACGTTGACTCCATCTGTGACCAATTTCTTCTCTCTGGCTGGTATTCCTGGTGGTAGTCCTTTTTATGAACAAGTATATAACATTCAGCAAGTGTATAACATATATAAATTTTTAAATCATCTAATACATATCATTGTTCGCGCTCTTTTATTATGTCTAGATATTTTCCTAATTATATGTTTTAAAACTCATATCAATTTTTATATTAATATTAAAATATATATA